GTAAATATTTCTCATTTAAATGATAAAGTTTGATGTTTTTCAGTCTGACATAATTCATGTGTTCTGCAGATGAAGACGGGTCCGTTTGCGGAGCACTCCAACCAGCTGTGGAACATCAGCGCCGTTCCTTCCTGGTCCAAAGTCAACCAGGGTCTGATCAAGATGTACAGGGCTGAGGTTGGTGTTCTGGTCCTGGTCTTTACTGGGTCACATGGGTTGGGTTGTCTCTATCACTCTGGTACCAAACAGAACAAAAGTCTCTGTGTTGAGCCCACATCCTGGTCCAACAGAACATCTGCAGGACTTACTGGAAGAACCATGGGGGTCCCACAGGACCCAAAGGATCCACTGGCAGCCGTCCAGGTCCAGTAGTTCCAGAACATCCCAGCTTCTCAGGGATGTTTTGGCTGTAAGGTTCTGTAACGTGAGGCGGTTTTATTTAATGTTGGTTCTGATTGGTGTGAAACGGACCTCCCAGAGACCAGAACCAGGCTCAGACACACTCGTCTGGTTCTGTGGGAAAAATGACACATTTAAAGCCTCTGACGTCCACGCTGCAGTCAGAAACTAAATAAAATAATGTAGTTCAGTGGGCGGAGCCAGGGGCGGGGTCAGGTAGGTCCTGGTGGAATCTGATTGGCCACTGAGGAAGAGATGTTTAAAAAGGTGTCGACACAAAGATTAAAAAATATTTATAAACATGAAGTTTAAATAACAGAATTTAACTTTTAAAGATCACATCAAGTCGTCCTGACGCAATTAATTTAAATTATTTTATAATCAGTCATTTTCTTAATTTTGTATAAATATAATTAAAGGGAAGTGACGCTCAAATAATGAATCTGACTTTTTACATATTTATTTTATTTTAAAATACAAGTTTTGTTTTTCCTTCATTTGTAGAAAAGAATTATTTCTTTTATAAAGGAAAAATAAAATAAAAATAAAGTCACATTTTGTTGCTTAATGATTTTTACTCAAATATTAGAGAAAAAGTCCAAAATGTGGACATTTTTTTAACTCAAAATCATTTTTTATAAACAAAGAAATGTGATTCCTGTAAATCCTGGTTTTCAAACAAAGCTTTTATTTAGAAAAATCTGTTTTAAAGGTGTTTTATTTTGAAATGGTGGCTTCGAACGAGGAGCTGGCTGAGAGAAGGAGACGAGGAAAATCATCCAGACGGACCGGTTCTCCGGGTTGTTCAGAGCCGGGAGGCAGGAAAGGGTTAAAGAGAAAATGGAGCTGTGTGTGTGTGTGTGTGTGTGTGTGTGTGTGTGTGTGTGTGTGTGTGTG